TCGGTCTGTTCTGGTTGTGCAATCGGCGGTGTTGGCTGGTCAAGAATGCGTGTTGGTTGTACAAGCTTGGTCGGTTGAGCAATCGGTTCTGATCCCGTGTCCTACAAGACAAGGGTACGCAGAGAAGGATAGCTATAGGGGCCAACAACCATTGCAGCGACCTGCGTTGTTTCTCGCGCAGTCCGTCCTTGCGAAAGGCTGCCAACTTGCCGAGAGTCTCCGGCGCAGGTGTTCGTGGCTTCTCGGCAAACAGGTCGCAACAGGTCTTGCTGAGCTCCTGGACCTTGCAACAGTCTATGAGCCTTTCGGAGTCTCGCATCCAGCTATCCGCTTCACCTCTTGCTTTGCTGCCTCTACCGTGGCACTCTTGCTGGAGACTCGCAAGAGTTATCGCGGAAGCTCTGGTCCTCTCTGGTCCTTCTGTCACTCAGTCTACCCACCTCCNNCCCCCCCCCCCCCCCCGCCCCCACGTCAGAAGCCATTGCGTTTTTGGTCTGCTTGGCCAAAGCGGTTAGCACTGTTGAGGCCCTTGGAGAAATCTCAGCTCTGTTAAGGAGCCTGACGTTGCTGTGACTGTGGTCGGAGTGTAGCAGCAACCCGAACCCTTCCATAAACCATCGAGAACTTCCCAGGGCGCCTCATCGGACTGCTGCTGCGACTTGGAAACACGGAGCTTCGCATCTGTGAGGAACGATCGCATCTCGGCTTCGAAGTGTTCGCCAAACCTGCTCGGCTTCTCCTTGCCCTCGCCTTCTCCATCACCTGGGTTCTTGTGAAGGAACTCAACATGTGTTTCCATGATAGGGACAGCATACTGACTCCTAGCATCCAGGTCGCCTGGAGGACCAAGAGCTTCTTCCAGGATGGCGAGCTGCTTCTGCATTTCGGAGAGGCGTCGCACAGATTCGTCAAAGTCCAACTTTGAAGCTTCTTCACAGAACTTCAGCTCCAGCATCGCTCCTGCCTTGACATCGACATCGACTTCGTCCATAATGAAACGGAGAAGTGAATATGCCTTGCCCTCAAACCCTTCCACTCGGCTGAGCAGAGGTAGTGTGTCCAAAGTGAACCCTCGCTGGGCACCTTTGTTTGTACCGTGGTTCAGGTAGTTGCCAATTTGCATGATGACCGTGAAGATCTTGCGCAGATTCTCGCATTTGCATGTATCGGTCAGAGCTGCGTGCAGTGTCGCAAGATCCCGTTCCACCTCGTCGCACTCAGAGGCGAACATACCCCGTGTCAGGCAGCACTCGGCCCTCACCTTGAAGTCAGAGATATCCATAAGCTGGATCAGAAACTCCTCGGCGCGAGCCCAAGGCAGCACCGTGGGATCATTGTCCTTCTTGAAATCCATCAGCTCTTGGAGCTCATCGCCCTTGGGGTACAGCTCGATCACCTTCGATAAGTTCTCAGCCTCAGCGAATCGGAGCCAAGCAACCTCATACGATGAGACCGGAAGTAAACTCGAGAATATCAGGACTCCCACACTAGTAGCCACCTTATACCGTATGCGCACATGGAATCTCAGGACATCACGTTCAAAGCCCTCTCAGAGGCGTCGAGATCCAAAACACATCTCCGCACGTGATCGATATTTACCCCGCAGCCATTCAGGAAAATCTCCACAGCTTGGCTCTTCTTGGGAGGCAAGCACTGTGCCACGGTCTTCTTCCTGGCCTCTTTTTGATCCTTCCCCGCAGCATCTGGCGGCTCCTCCTTACTCTTGAAAAAGGTGCCGGTCAGCTTCTCGAGCAGAGTGTGCATCTTTGGCTTTCTCTCTGGCTCCTGCTTCGTCTCTGCCTTATCATCGGGCTCTGCTTCAACATGTTCCGTCTTGTTCGAGTTGAGGCTCTCCACAATCTGCTGGAACATGGAACCAGCAAAGCGAGTGCCCACGACGTTCGTCCAATGAAACTTCTTCCCAACGAGGTGCTTGGGAGGCTCCGGACCAGGATCAACATCGGGCAACGCAGTCTTGCCCTTGCCGGCGGCCTTTCCTTTCCCTCCCTTCGGCGGAGCAGGCTTGCCTCCCCCTCCCTTCTTCGGGGTAACTGCGCCTTCGACGCCCTCCGCACTCTGCTTCTCCTCGCCGGAGCTTGGCCCTGGTGCGGGTCCGGCAGGTCCGGCTCCTTTTCCAGGCGGCATCGGTGGACCTTTTTTGCCCTTGCCCTTGCTCGGCACTGCACTCGCCTGCTGCGGAAGTGCCTCCTCTGTCACGCTGGGCTCTTCGGCTACGGTCTCTGGCGAGGCCTTCGCAGGAGGCGGGCCAGGACCTTTCTTCCCCTTTCCTTTTGCCTTCGGGGGTGCGTCCTCCGTCGCGCTAGGCTCATCAGGCTCTTCGGAGGCCTCTTGCGAGGCTTTGGGCGGAGGCGGACCTGGACCTTTCTTCCCTTTTCCTTTTCCTTTGGGCGCCGGTGTCGCATCCTCGGCAACCGTGGAATCCTCTGGCGTGGGAGTGGGAACCGCGCTTGGTTCAGACTCGCCTTGAGGCATGGGTGGACCCTTCTTGGGGGGTCCCTTCTTCCCCTTCTGGCCCTTGCCGCTAGCAGCACTGGCACTAACAGCAACAGCAGGCTCCGCCACGGAATCCGCATCCTCTTGGCTTTGGGGAGGACCGGGGCCTGGACCTGAGGCTTCCGAGCTTTGCTCCGTTTGCCGCGGTCCCTTAGCTCCGTCTCGGTCGGCTCCTTCGTTCTGCAATGCTTCCAGGCTCTGGATTTGCTTTTGGGCTGCGTCGAGCTGTTCTCGAACTTCTCGCAAGTGCAGGTCTTGCTCCAGGGACTGACTACGCAGCCTGGCTTCGCTGTCCTTCGAAGCTTCCAGCTGAATGCGGAGCTCCTCCTCCTGAGTTCCTTTCGAGGCTTCCAGCTGTTGACGGGCATCTTCGAGCTCTTGCTTCACCTTGCGATTCTGCTCACATTGATCCCCGAGCTGCTCGAGCACATCGTCCAAGTCGGCCTTTAGAGCTTTTGTTTGGTTCCTCTGGAAGCGCAGAAGCACTTCATGTTGCCCGGAGATGCGCAAGCTCTTCATATGCCACTCCAGCTTCTTGCTGCCAAGCAAGTTCTTCAGTCGCACGTTCACATTCGCATGCTTATCAGTAAGCTCAGCCATCGTGCTGGCCATGCGGACCGAGCGTCCCATGGCCCTCTGCATGAGAAGCAGAAACTTCCGCAGCTCTCTTCCAAAACCCCTCTTGTCTAGCTCCTGCATGAGACCGGTATGCATCTGCGGAAAGAGTTCTAGGGAAGTCACGATGTTGGTCATGTGCTCTTGCAACTCACCAGTGACAGCAGTAGCATCTTCGCTGACCCTGTCCGCTCCAACGAAGAGGGATTCAAATGTGTTGTCCTTCATCAGTTGTGCGAACTCCTGCTGGCCGCGATCATCCAAACCGTAGGAATCATCCGACTCCGCGTCGCTGAAAGAGGCCTCTGCCTCCTCCGGGGCCGGCCCCTGCTGAGGCGGGAGCGCTCTGCGCAGAAGTGAGAAGGCAGGCAAAACGGTGCTGCGCTGCAGGCTGTGGACGAGCGACAAGACGCCGTATCTTTGTTGATTTGTCCTGAATTGCTCCCGTTGCTCCTCCAGCTCATCGGCAAGCTCCTGATTGATCCGTTCCTTCTCGCGCAGCTGTCTGGCAATCTCGTCCCGCTGCAAAGACACAGCCTTGTTGGCCTGCTCGAGTGCTTCGGCCTGTGTCTGCAGGCTGTCCCTCTCATTCTGCACCTCCAGCAAAGCCGCGGCGCGTTGCTTCAGCTGCTGGTCGAGATCTGCTTGCAAGCGCTTGCGCTCAGTCTCTCCTGCTTCTCGAATCTCTGCCAGATGCCTGGTCATCTCATCGAAAGCAAACTGGCTCTGCTCTCGCAAGGCTTTGGCTCTTTCGACTTGCTGAGCTTGCACGACTCGTGGCTCGGACTCAGCCTGTTCCTCGGACTGCTTCTCCTCGGGAACCGAGCCCACTGCGTCCCTCAAGGCCTGAACTTCGACCTCCTGCGCGTGCAATCGCAGTTGCAAGTGGTCTCGCTCGGATGACACAGCTTGAAGCTGGACACGTGCATTCTCCCTCGCATCCTCAAGCTGCTGCTCCAAACTTTGCTTCTCACTCTCTAAAGAAAGTCGTATTGCTTTTACTTTGGAGTCAATCTGAGCCGCCACTGCCTGGTGGTGTGCCTGTCTGTCGCTTTGCAGAGTCGAGAGTTCCTTTTGAAGCTGGTCGAGCTCTTCTTTGTGTTCGGCCTGCATTTGCTGGATCTCCTCGTTGACGGCATCCAACTGTTCGTTGAGAGCGTCATTGGCGGATTTGAGCTCGAAGGCTTTGGACTGGTACTCTCGGAACTGGCTCAGCTGGCTGGCGCTCTGCTGTGCCTGTTCCTTCAACGTGTTCACTTGCTCCGATAGCGCCTCGTTTTGCTCCCGAACTGTGGCCAAGGCTGATGCATTGCTGCGGCGCAGCTCTTCCAGCTCTTCTTCCAATCGCTGAGCCTCGGCCTTACTGGGCTGCGAACCACTTTGCGTGCTTTGGCGCTCCTCCAGGTCATGGAGTAGCTCCATCAAGCGGTTCACCTGGCACGGGGTTTCGGCTCGGGGCTTGGATTGACCCACCCAGTCCAACCAAGCGCCTCGTTGTCCTTTGCCGCAAGCTTGCTCTTGCACATTTCTTCGGCGACCTTGCGGAAACTTGGTGCAAAGTCGTTGAGGACCTGAACAAAACAAAAGGATTGGTCTCGAGCACTGGCCTCTTCAATGTACGTCTCAAGCGACCCTCCTCCATCTTTGTTTTGGTTCTTATTGGCCTTTGACCTGAGAGCGCTTGCGATCTGTCTCGGCAACGTCCTGCGTACCATTCAGCCAGGGGGCAAAATGTTGATCGTCTGGGACTTTGCGTCAAGGGCGGATTGAAGGTGCTTGATGGTGGTAGCTTTCGACTCGATGTCCTGATGACACAGACAGCAGGGCGACGAAGGCATGGCTGTTGTGTGAATCGTGATCTGGCCTGCATCTGATCTTGGGAATCCGATCTACAGGACTGCGAAACTTCAGCTATCTCTGCCTTTGCTGATACCATTCGGACTTATATAGACACAACTGCCCTGACGGAAGCCGTCGGGATTCCGGGATCTTCGCTGCGGGGCTTTGCCACTGTGAAAAGAAATCACGGCCACATATAATTGCAAATGTTCTTGCGCTCTCCACTCTTTCATACCTGGCCTTGCTACTGCACACAACTCCCAAACAGTTATCAATCTCAATCTGTAATGTGCAGATTCCATGCGTAAACATCGATGATGCATGATTTGCACTGGACCAACGGGAGCGACAGAGTCCACGACGGATCCACAATGATGCTACCAGTATGCCACTGTTTTGCACGGAGATGCCAGGCCTTCTGTAAGCTGTGTATCGTGTGCTCAATCGAGGACCGCTCCATTCCGGTCATAGCGGGAGTGAGGATCCACAAGAGATTTGAAAGTATGTGATGAGATGCTGACCTGTTGCTGCAAGAAGGACTATCGCAGCGAAAAAGATGAGCGATATGATATGATTGGTTACAAAACCAATTGCTCTACAAGCACGTGGACTCTTGTCTGTAGTTTGCCTTGCGCGAGTGTCCAGGCTTACCGGGATTGTCATTCCGTGGCTCGATAAATGTCGCCCTTACGGTTCGCGAGATTTTCTGTGGCATAACATGGCACTGTGCTCAAACGTGACATTGAACACCTTGCGCGGCTGTCCCGTGCCTCCCCCTGATCGAGCAGCGCAGATGCGACATGCAGCTTCTCGACTATCCAATCAACTCGTGAAGAAGATGTGCGCACCACACACAGCACGCGTAACGACTTCTTTTCAGAATGTGCGCAAAGGAGGCTGACGTGTCTGGCCCAGTTCAAGCTGCTGCTGCCTCACACACAAAGTGAAGGTATAATATCCTCAGCAGATTGCAGCTTCTCTTTGCCTGCGCAGTATCTCCTCGTGTTCGGGCACCGGGAGGAAATAGTCATGCCCTCGGCCCGCCAGGCCCCGCTGCAGTAGCGGTGTGGCGGTGTCGTCCCGCGTTCCCGAGGCTGGTGCAGAGCAGCCCGTAGCAGATCTGCCGGCCTTCCAGGTTTCGGAACCTCCCAAAAGGCGCCGTCGCAGGCCAAGGCTCAGCTCTCTGCTCCGTTGCCCTGCCTCCGCTGGAGCACCCGCACGGCACGCCACCAGAGCACAGCCAGGACCAGGCCCAAGGTGGAGCCCACGGCCACCTCGGCGCAGATCTTTTGGAAGCCTGGTGCGTTCGGCTCTGCGTTCTCCGGTGCCTGGTTTGGAGTATGGTCACATAGGACCACTCTCATGAAGGGAACAGGCACCTGCAAGGATGTCGCTACCGCGCATGAATGCACGGCAGAGTCGCCCTGGGAGCCGGCACCATGAGGAAGAACCAGAAGAGGCCCTCGGCTTTCAGCATCACATGACACTCGAGACTCGAGACATCTCGAGACTCTCGAGTACATGTCCGCCCCCTTGCAAGACCTGGTCCCAAGTGCCCTGGTCCCAGCCCAGGCCGGGCCCCGGAGTTTTTCTTCAAAGCTGCAGCTTCGCCGGGCCGGGGCACAGGGCACCCGACCTCCCCGACTTGGGCAGGAGCTTCCAGCTTGCAGGTCTCGGGCGCTAGAGTCCGCTAGAGGTTCTAGAGCCTCAAAGCCTCAAAGTGTCAGGGCTCCCGAAAAAGGAACTTGTTTTCGAAATGCTTCGGAGTTGAGGCACAGGAGCTTCGAAATCTCAACTGCCCGCCCTTTCTCTCACACTGTGCCACCCCCATAGAAGGGCGGCGAAACCACTCGCCGGACCAAGAACATGGCTAGTCAGATCCTATCGATGGGGATTCTTCATTTTAACGGGAATCCCTAACCAATGCCGCCGACCCTTTCTAAGCAATGTATCCGGCCCCCCGGTTTCAACAGCATGAAAACGCTGAAAATACTGCGGTTTTTGCTCGATTCACAGATGTGATGGTATGGAGCCTTTCGCTTGGTGCTCATCTGACGGCGATCGTCATGAGCATCAGCTGGTGGCCCTTGGCAGCCCCCGCTGCTTGGAAGGGTCCGTGACCTCGTAATTTTTGTCGCGATGCCTAGACCCCGGAAACGACCAGCATCATGGGCATCAGCTGGAGTTCTTAGCGGGCCCCGATCTGGTCCTCGGTGCTCAAGAGTGTGCGAGAAAGCCAAAAATATCGTCGTTGTTGCATGACTGTCACCACTGAACCCCTTCGAGGGCCCCATTGCTTGTCAGACACTCGGCACACAGAAAAAGCCTACATGGCCCATTGCATCTGCGAACAATTCGGAGGAGCGGCCTCCGATTCGCGGAGGTGTTCTCGATATGCAGTATGCACAAGAGTGGATCACCACATTCATTGCTGTTTGTACTACAATCGTCAGAGAGGCATACCTTCTGTACCTGTGTGACGATGCCCAAGCCCGCAGAAGCTTTGGCGACCCAGCTGCTGTCAAGGTGCAAATGAGATCAACTCTCGCACGTTCAGTACATCTTTCTTGACCCAAGGAACAAGACCTTGGATGTCGGTGTTGCCGCTCGCTCTATCCTCCCAAAGTTGCGAAAATACTACACATCTGCATGCCAAGTTACAGAAGTTCCTTGGCTTTCGCACAAGCATCGGTTGCTACTTACAGCATTAAGGAGGTACGTGTAAGGTGTGCAACAGCACAGGAACCAGCATCCTGCACGCACTGGCATCCTCTCGGGTGAGGCTCTTCTAGATGCGTACAAGTAGCTAAACGAGAGCTGAAGACAACGAGATGCAAAAGAAAAAACACAGGAAAGAGGCTTGAGACGGATGCATCAATCCATCATAACCCATCTTCGCAACTGAAGGATAGAGGTTCAGATTCAGTGTACCGGGTGAAGCATACACAGACGAACTCTGCCCTGGCACACCCTTTCGGAGTTTCTTCAGGGCTCATGAAGCCGACCGCTTTTATGTGAGGTTGATGTTCGTTGCGATTGTGAAATACTGTGAATGAAAGGCCTACTTGTAATGTCGAGTGGGGACCTGAAATCGAGCGTAGCATCGCCTAGCCCAGCGCGCAGTTTCCACAAAAGCGACAGGCTGAAATCAGCCAAGGGTCTTCATGAAATGCACAATTTTCTTTTGCTCTGCCATTAGGATCGATTGAGTATGTGTGATACCTGATGGCCGCAGCTGATGGCAGCATGGCAAAAAAAGGGAAAGCGGCGCTGGGGGTCCGGCGCCCGCCTGTCACTGTAGCTTGTCGTGAGGTGCCTCTGACAGTCATCAAGCGATCTTACGACGAAGCTCTTCTGCGAGTCGAGTGGCCAAGGTGGGTCCGGACGGTCGCGTCGAGGATCGACCTTTGACCACCCCAAAGACCCTCCCGCAATTGAGACACTTTCCAAAGGCCCATGGCAGGGTGAACCAGCCCATGGCTATTGCCTCGGCACGACAGGGATGACAGGGGCATGCAAGTTGGACGGCCCCGATTTTCGCCAAGGCGCCGAATGACTGGAAGGCATCCCGCATGTCATTATGCAGGAACCTTGCAGCCGGCCGTGCTCTCCTCGCAGCTCCAGCCGGCCTGAGCTCCCGAAAGCTCTTCTCCAGCCCCCGCCCCCGCCCTTGGCTGCCCTTGATCCAAGTCTGCAACTGCCAGGACGAGGTTCGGCGAAACACTTTTTCACCACCACCTACGCCCAAAGTGTGTCAGGCTCCGGCCAGCAGGGCCTTAGGCCGGGCCTCGTTGATGCTGATCAGGAGCCCTAGCCATAGCAAGATCCAGAGCTGTCCTCGGAGCTTGGCCCACATGCGCACTTGGCTCTGGCCACGTGGTGATCTGAGCCCATGGCGTGTGCCACGACAGATGCAGAAATCAGCTATCACAAAGAACACCTTAGTGCTCGGGATTCTGACAAAAAAGGTTCCTGGATCAACCTAGGACCTAGGACCTAGCACGAGGCCAAGATCAAGAGTCAAGAGCTCCCGGCATTTCGCTCGCGGCTTACGGAGGTATGCAATGCAGAGGTGAGCAGCTCTGTTCCACAGAGCTACCGGGGGTTTCGGTAAGGAATTTGCGCCAGGAAAGGTTCCGTCTCAGATTCTCAGCCGCCCGGAAGGCCCGCGAGTTGCTGGGCGGATCCGGCCCCTTCCACGACCTGCCGGCAGAAAACCGCACTGCCGCGCTGCTTTCCGCTGCGCCTTGCAGTCAGTCGGCCTCCCTTTTCAAGCCCTCCGCTGCCACATACTTCCAGGTCTCCCCTTCACGCCGGTACACGGAGCATTCTTGGAGAAGAAGCACCTCGCACTATCCCGATTCGAGCTGTACGTCCCTACATCATGTGCGCATTCCTGCCGGTCCTGCCCTGTCTGGCCTTGGGAACATCGGAAACCTTCTCAGGCTCTGCAGCAGCTTCTATGGTCACGGCATAAAGGTCCTTCATGTTGCTCGCGCAAATTCAAGGTCCTGGGATCTCGTGATGCCATGGAGTCCTCCTCGCGCTGCTCGGACGCGGTCACATTCAAGCCAATGTACCGAAATCCCCGATTGTTGCGCACAATCTGCTTCTTCCAAGCTTGTCTATCCTCCTGGCAGTCGAAGCTGAAACAGATGACAACCTGAATCAACTGCAGGCCGGGGGCCGCATCTCCTGAAAGTCCACGTGCGTCGAGTGGGTCGTGTCCTCGATCTTGCAAGAGGGCAGATCTAAATCCTGCTGCCCATGCGGTAACACCATCGGAAACTCGGGGGGTTGGGGGCATCCGCCCGCCCCACTCTGGCCAATCATTCCGAGGCACTATCAAAAAGTCGTATTTCTTCATGGCAAGAGCAGAAAACCTTGCTCTCGCCATCTTTTCAGGCGTGTCGGCTGCGGTCAAATCCTCGAGACGTGTGCTAAATAACACCGCCCAAGTGAGAGGCTTTAGCTGCGCCATTCTGTGGCTGTCCTTGTGAATCTGGCGACAACACACCTTGTAGTGCTTGCCGGAGAGGCAGGGGCAGCGTGTCGACTTCGGGGATCTAATCCCCTCATCTCCAAACCTGAACGCTCATCAAATCAAACCACTTCGGCCGAGACGACGCCATGCTGACGTGAAAGACTCAACCATCCAAGACCGACAGCTGGAGAGCATGAAAAATGACAGACACCCAAAGCCGGAAAGCAGTGATAGATGAATCCTGAGATGGGGCAGTCTGAAATTGCTCTCGATTGAGCGCCGGCGCAATCAGCTTCGCTGGTGAAAACTTGCAAACACCTGACGGTGTTCGTCCTGAATAAACCTCTTATGCACGGAGTGTTTCCTGTTTTGGTGGCATGCAGGCGCATTTGCAGACATGCATGCATACATACATACATACATACATACAAACTTACTTACTTACATACCTACATAGTCTTACATACTCTTACACAACCTTACATACTCTTACATATTCTTGCATACTCTGACATACTCTGACATACTCTTACATACCTTACATACTCTTACATACTCTTACATACTCTTACATACTCTTACATACTGTACTCTTACATACTCTTACATACTCCTACATACTCTTACATACTTACCTGCATGTATGTCCATGCATCCATGCAAGCGTACCACAAACCATGTTGATATAATATATACATACAATAAAATGAGATACAATGCGCTACACTGCAATACATTGCATTACACTGCAGTACACTGCAGTGCATCGCAGCGCATCGCAGAGCAGTGCAAGACAACACAAGACTGGACTGGACTCGGGCTACTCGACTCGACGAGACTAGCAAACAATCACAAATAAATACCTAGATCAACATACTGTCGCATTTACATACCTACTGCAGCCTCATCCACCCCTCACGAGAATCTCAGACAGACAACAGACGTGCAAGTGGAAAGCTAGACGGACGGACGGACAGATGGAAAGTCATTGATGTCCAATGATCAATGCCAAGAAGGCACCCTTTGGCATTGGAGATGATGCGAAAATCGTGCGATTTCTGCTCGACGCTGCGTCTCTGCGCCCAGGTTCTGCAGAATCCGTGCCCAGCCAAACTGCACATGAAGGTAGCACTCAACACGACCAGGCAGCGCAGCCACAGTCTGCGACATTCAACTGGCCGGAGGCTGCACTTCATGGGCCAAGCCGAGTCTGGTCTTGATGTCTGGGCTGTGCTTCGTTCCCACAGGTCGTGTACGTCTATATCTATATCTTGTGCCTCGCTAGCACATGATTTATTTCAGGTGCATGATCCAAAGCAGCTGCGGAAGCCGGAGCATTCTGGACTATGCAGACAAGAAGGTGCAGTTGCGGTATCGGGCGGTGAGAACTCTTACTGCAGCCGAGGAACCGGAACCCAGGGCAAGTACGCGTAGACCTCCCACGCAGCAGGGCATCAGGATGCAGGAAAGAGGTTTGGGATATCGCAAGGGCTGGGGGCCCCTCCACCGCAAAGAACTTGAGGATGGTAAAGGGCTCCACCATGTCTGTGAGCTCTTCAGGGACAGCTGGCCAAGTTACATCGAGTGGCCTCGAAAAGGTCTCAGCGCTACCGTCCACCCTCAGTAAGAACACAGTGCAACCCAGTAGCAATGCTTGCCCGTATGGGCACTCGTAGCTTAACAGCCTTCAAGGATCCATCCCAGCCAAAAGGCACGGCATGGGTCACTGGGCACATGAGTTTCTAAGCCTGATCCCGGCCTCTTTTGCATCAGAGCTGCTGAGCCCCTGCACACCCAGGGAGCAGCGTCTGAAGCTCAGCTGCATTGCAGTGTACCCCCGCCTGTTTTTGAAAGGTCTGAGACTCGCCTGGGCACTTCGGGGGGAGACTGTTCAGCCTCACACTGGATCTAAGCATCTAAGGCGCCGTCCTCAAACAAACTTTCCCTCTCTTTGTCGGTTGCGTTTCCATCTTGCCAGAACTCTCGCGTCCACACCTCGACTGCCGGGATTACAGGAATGGATCCACTCCGTATGGAAGCATGTGCATTGACAGTCTGCTACCGGACTGCTACAACGATGCACTGAATCTGAGGTTTGTGCTCCACAGCAGCATCCTGAATAGGAGCCGTGACAGATGCACAGACAAAAACTTCCAGCACGAGTGGAACAATGGCACCCATGATGGTGGGCAGTTGTCGGAAGTCTCTGCAGGAAGTCGCCGAGTGAAGTCCAGACAATCGGCAAGAAACACTGCTATGTTTTCACTAGCTAAAATAGTGAACTAGTGTCCTGAAGCCGACGGAACATCGATCAGAATGGATGCCAACAACGCTTTCGCCATGGCGGCTGGCTGTCATGACAGCCGGTGCATGATCTAATCTAGCCTTCTTTTTCCCAGAAGTCTGAGTTGCGCAGCATCGGAAGGAGACTAAACTGCTAAAAACAAGACAAGGTTCGGCTTCCCGACTAACACTTGTGCTCCCGGTGGCAGGGTAAGCTGCGGGCTGAGGACGTATTCTCGACGAAGTGCACTGAATTAAAGCGGCTGCGAAGATGCATAATCAAGCTGGTCAATTGCTCACGGCATCAAGGGCACGAGCTCGGCGTCTCTGGGTCTTTCTTTCGCCACCTCGCACAGCAGCTCAAGCTGCGAGGCCAGACCTTCGACGACAATGCACAGGATCAGATCCAAGAGGCCCGCGCGACCCGCGCGACCCGCGCGACCCGCTGACCCGCGCCCCGCACGCCCTCTGCCTCGCTCTTGCAGAAGAGCCATCGAGCTTTCGCGGCCATGGAGCTCCACCAGCCACTGAGTCCAAAGCCTGCACGAGATGGCACGAGCACCAGCGCCGTCCGGGGCCGGGAACGACCGGGTCCCTTGCAGCTCGCGCTGCCAGGACGACAGCGAGCGTCCGCTCAGAAGGCCGGCAGACCTGCACCGAGGAGAGGAGGAAAAGGGAGGAAGCGCCGGCTGCTACAAAGGGAGAACCACTCCGAACGCCACAAAACTTGACACCAACGGGACGGAGAAGCGACGCCTGAGGTGCACGAGGACCATGGCCACGGCGACATTCAGAGAGAGGCCACACGCGAATCCGCGCTGAGGCAAGGAAACCTAGCACATCTACCAGGACCAAAAAGACAAACAACTGGTTGGATTCTCTAAGTTTCTGCAGGAGGCCTGCATATCGTAATCGTCGTGGTCCTGTCATATCGTCGCGTGGCCTTACAGCGCTTGCAACTGTTTTGTTCACGTCCTCTTCGACTCCGCTGGCTCCGAACACAACGGCGAGCTTTGGCGGCGGCCTCCTGAGACGGGCGGGCAGAGCCGTGCAAGCTCCGGAAGTTTAGGGCTCTGGAGCTTCGGGCTCGTTCTGCCTTTTGCACACAGCTTTCAGCGAAGCCCGCGCTTTTGTAAAGCACTCAACCCCGAGAAAAGAGAGGCAACTACAGCACACTCACCATCAAGATTTTTACTGCGGTGAGCGCTTTCGCCTGACTGGCTTGTCGAACCTCGTGCCGAAAAAGTGTGCATTGTGCTGTGCCGCTTCCTTACACATACAGTCGGTCGCCATAGTTCACAAACGCATGCACTACGTGCATGCGAACATGTCTCGGATTGTTTTAAAACAAAGGCCCCCACCTTCCCTCCACAAACGGCCTTCGAGTAGTAGAAATTATGCCCATGTGCATCAGGGCTTGATTGGCACACTGGGCATACTCTTAGAAAATTGCCACTTCATGACACATTTCCTGAACGTCGTGCAGCTTTTGCGCGGCTTGTAGTTGAGGACGTTGGCCTTGAAACTGAACGGGTACTTGCAAAGAATGCGATCCACTGTTAGTCGGGAATAGCCGCGTCTGACCAATTTGTCTGCAAAGAAACTGAGCTGGGCAGCATAAGTGTCCTTGTACTTGTTGGTACGTAATAAACGAACCGCTTCAGTTCTGACAATGGAGTCAAACACAGTCGGATGATGAGAACTGTTTGTCGGCAGGTACCCATAGATGTTCAATGGTTTTCGGAATGTTTGGTATCGTACTTCAGCCGTCGGACTTCCAGCATCCAGGATTTCGAGGTTCAAGTCCAAGAAATTTGTAGTGGTAGAAAGACAAATCGGCTCAGTACTGATACTGGGGTTCCATGTGTTGAGGAGCATCCGAAATCGACGAAGATGACGTCATGGTCGAAGCAACACACAGCAGGCCGTCGTCGATGTAGCGGAAATACTGCTTACAACAGGAACATAATTCGTCCATCAGGAGGCGTTGAGGTACACGTTGGCAATTTCACTGGCTGCGTGCAGACCTGTGTTAAGTCCTTGCTTGGCGTCGTAGAACTCACCGTCATATTCCACGTACTGGTTTTGCAATATACAATGCAAGAGTGAATCCAGTAGGATCGCGAGGCATGGATTGTGCTGATAGTGGCGCCAAATGCTGGCTGACACATCTGTATACACATCCAAAGACTTCGGACTGTGTTCCATCGGCCAAATTTGCAGACTGGGATAAAGTGCTTTGATGTCAAAAGACACGAACATATCGTCACAGGCAGGCTTGTAACTGTCGGCCCAGTTGACGACATGTGTACTTGCAGCTATGACGTGTTTGCACTTTTGCACAATCGGTTGCAAATAAACGCCTAAGAAGATGCCAGCGTTGCATAAGCAGAATTTGGCATTGTTGCAAATCGGTCTGGAATCGATAGGACTTTTGTGGATCTTCACGTTGACTCTGAACCTCGGAGCGCTGTGTAATTCAGATTGTCCACGAGAAAGCGCGCCTGTTGTCGAGAAATAGCTTGTGCTGCTGAAGCTTGCGAGGTGATCTGTGAAAGTCGGCTCTTAGCAAGCTGCAACCTGTCATAGAAAACATTGCGCGGAACCACTTGCATCGATTTCCTGAGCCATTTTCTACACTGACCATCCAACCAACGACTGCATACTATAGCATTGCCGAGGTTCTTGTCGGTGTCCACAATCTTGTATGAAAGCTTATGTTCTCGCAACCATCTCAAAGCTTTGCGGTCCAAAAGAGTCATGTTAGTACTGTACTGTCGATGTTCGGGCCATTGCTTCACAAACTCCTTCGCTGTGAGAAACTCGTAGGCCTGCAAATCGGATTTCACACATGCTGTGAGTGGTGGCTCCCAAGTTTTGTTTGACAGACAAGTACGCGATTGAACTCGATGTCGCTGTTGAGCATCATGTTGGAAATAGCATGACAATCGGACCGGACGCAAAAATGATTGAAAGGATTTGAGGGCATGCTGTACACAATGAGTCCGTGAGGTGGGAATGAATTTGGAACTCTTCGCTGCAAGGTTATGTACAAAAGGCGGGATGAGGCTTCGATCAACGTTGACATAATGTACATGGTCCAAACAAGGCCTGGCAAGAAGGTCTTTCAAAACTGTTCGACCTGACTGCACAAGGGCGAACTTGCAATAGTCGATGGTGCCATCTTTGTGCCAGTAAGAATGTCGCCTAGGCCGATGCTTATTGCCACCAGCCGTGAACCGTTTCACTTTCTGCGCTGATGCTTGCCCTTGCCTTTGCCACGACCTTTGTCCTTGGGATTGGGTGTCTTTGTCCTTCTTCCGCTGGAACTTCGTTGATTCTGAATGTCTCGGCTTCGGCCCCGAGACTGGCCTTTGCCGTTTTTTGGCTTTGACCTGGAAGCTCCACTGCGCCTAGAAGTTCTTGAAACATTACTCCGCCGGGAGCTGGATTGACCAGATCTTCTCGATGGAGTTTTCGAGCTACGCCTGGATGTGTTAGACACCACCCTGGAGGTTGATCTAGACGTGCGAGCACGATCATCTGTGTGAACACGTCCTCTTGAACCCCTGTTGTCCTTGATTTGTATGTTGTACATCTTGGCGATGGGCTCGAACTGATTCAAGATGCTTCCTAAGGCTGGGTTCTTGTGAACTGTGATTGGCTTGCCACGTTTGTGTTTGTCTGATCCATCTTGCTGCTTCTTGACACCCTGCGCCTCAAGAGTAAGAGCCGCGAAAAGTGCCCGAGCATCCATGGACTCATAGCTGGCCTGTGCTTTGTCGAGTTCTTGTTGTCTCTTCTGTTGTTTGGCCTTCATGCTCGCAGTTTTCTCACTCCAAAAGCCCATCGAACCACGGGTTTTAAGTTCAGTCCAAACCAAAGCTTTGTCGGTGAGCCGCTTGGTCGCATCAGAAGAATAATAGCCTTTGAGCTGCTCGGTGTACTCAGCAATCTTCGCGATAGCTTCTTGCTTGAAGTATTGCTGCACCGTTGTAGTATGCTCAAGGTGCTGCAAGAACTGAGCTTGATGCTGCTTCACAAACATCCAACACTCTTTTGCATGTCTCTGTCGCATGGAACGCCAAGCGTGCTCCAAATCATACGCTCGCATCGGTGCATCACCTTGTTCTGTACTTGATCTTTCCAGTTGAGACGGTGCCGCCACTGCTTTGTACTCCTTGGCAAACTGCCATTCCCTGTCACCCTCAACAGCGAAATCATGGTGTACGGAACCTGCAGCGTCGATACTGTCATATTTGCATTTGAGGTTTCTCTGGTGGAACAACCGCTCAATGCGGCGATCCCAATCCTTTGATAGCTGACGCATGATGTTTTGCACTCGCGGGTCCAAGGAGTTGAACACTTTGTCGGGGTTGTCGTCCTGTGGCATATTGTCCTTTCTTTGACGAACGTCCCGCGCATCTCGAGCTCGCAAAGAGTCGTGCCAAGCTTGAGTGAAGTCGGATTGCAAACGGTGTTGCTGTTGACTCATTTCTGACAACAGCTGCCGAAAACTCTCGTTTTGTTGCCACAACAACGGTTGCATCATCGCCTGCATCTGTTGATGTTGCTGTTGCTGCAGTACGTCGGCGGCTGTCGTGAAGCTACCTTGGGCACCCAGCTGCGCAGGAACACCACCTGTCCAGGCTGCAGCAGGGCCCTGGAGAAATGGCCCACCATGATTTTCCATGGCAAATACAGGGGAATGCTTTGAAGGTTGTCAACAAAGACCGCGCTTTTGTAAAGCACTCAACCCCGAGAAAAGAGAGGCAACTACAGCACACTCACCATCAAGATTTTTACTGCGGTGAGCGCTTTCGCCTGACTGGCTTGTCGAACCTCGTGCCGAAAAAGTGTGCATTGTGCTGTGCCGCTTCCTTACACATACAGTCGGTCGCCATAGTTCACAAACGCATGCACTACGTGCATGCGAACATGTCTCGGATTGTTTTAAAACAACCAACTCCAGACTTCTGCTGTACTTTTGGAACGAGCTTGTCCACCCGCCTCCACCAAGCCTGTTCCAGGTGTGGTCCACCCCACCAAGGCAAAATGTTCACTTGCATCAACCAGAAGACTAAAACGATCTCTCCTGTCTGACCTTTGAATTTTCTCAAACCAACCAGGGATCACTCACACTTCCCATTCAATACATTTGGTATCGAATGGGTTCAGGACTTGTGACCTGCTAGGTTTGAATAGCGATTCAAACCTAGGTGATTTAATCCCTCCTTGAACACCCTGAAACCCTTCACCCCCGACCCCAAACCCAGCAAGACCAAAACCAAAACCCTCACACCCATATTCCCTGAACTTCAGTTTGCCACGCACACGTCCATGCCGGTTTGCAGTAAGGCTAGTTACAGGACCTATGTTCCCAGGAGGGTGAGTTTCCCGGGGTTTTGCTTCGAGCCATTTTCATCTAGCTACAAACCTAGGAACCTTGGGGGCCTCTGACAAGGACGTGCACCTGGCAAGCTGACGAAACCCTGGACTTCTAGAACCCTCTAAATGCAAGCGAGTCGCTGGGCGGGACTCGCCGTCGCCGCCCGCCGAGCCACCATGGCGGCTCGGGGCTGGGGGGTTGGGGTTAGTGTAGGTAGTAGTTTGTAGGGTTACTGCTTTTAGGCGGGTTTGGGGGGGAAACCCTGAGACAGTCGCCCCGGGCGGTGAAACCATGCAGGCAGGCCAACTAATTACGCAAGCTGCCATGGGAATTAAAGTAGAGGACTTCGAGGTTATAGTCGTAGTTCATGCCCTCAGCAGCTTGCAAACGTGCACGGCAAAACGAAACGAATTATGCAATCTGCCACGTCTCATGCTCCTAATGATTATGTGGATGATGATGATGATGATGATGATGATCGCAATGACGATCAGGATGTGATGATAATGTTGATGATGTTGATGTTGATGATGATGATGATGCTGTTGTTGCTCATGAGGATGATGATGTTGATGACGATGAGGTTGTTGGTGAGGATGATGATGTTGATGACGATGAGGCTGTTGATGAGGATGATGACGATGATGTTGATGTTGTTGATGATGATGATGCTGTTGTTGCTCATGAGGATGATGATGTTGATGACGATGAGGTTGTTGGTGAGGATGATGATGTTGATGACGATGAGGCTGTTGATGAGGATGATGACGATGATGATGATGATGATTTTCAAGCTTCCATCAGTGGCAGGTTGCAAACGTGCAACAAAAACGTGCACGGAGAATGTGAGCTGACACTTGGCAAAGTCCTACTCTTAAGCTAAAGAAACCCCGACAACCTAATTTCTTGCTGCATTCCTAACAAACCCTAGAGCAACCGTCACAGTGTTCTCTTGCATTCCTAGCAAGCCCTAAAGCAAGTGTCCAAGTGTCAGCTCACGGACGGAGGGAAAAAGCAAAAAGCCTGGGCGGGCCACGGCTTTGCACACCATTGAAAAAGAAGTAGACTACTAGTCGTAGTAGTAGTAGTAGTAGTAGTAGTAGCAGTAGTAGTAGCACTAGTAATAGAAGTAAGTGAAATCGTAGTCGTGCTCTGGTGTGCTTTGCTGTCTTCCTGTCAAAAACTATGTGAATTACTTATACTTGCACTAGGTTATCCTTAGACTTAGACTACAGTGACTACTCAAGCCAACTGGGGGTCGTCAAGCCATTCGACAAGACGACTCCAGAAGGCCTCATTCCCGTACTCCTGATAGCCGTGTGCTAGACGAACCATCCGCTCTGCCGTAAACATGGCAGCTTCGAATCGACCAAGCAAAAAACGTCGCATGATCATTCGATAGATGGCGCGACAGGAAGGCAACCAATGTGCTCCACCATTGCAATGGTAGCAGTGGTGGCCCGCCTGGGCGACGGGCACAAGCCCAATTACAGGTGGCTGCCAGACTTGGAAAAGATCCACAAGATCGTCGTCTGGCCCACCATAGGGCCCGCCCCGAATGGCCCACGCAGGGAAACCTGCTGGTAAAACAGCCAAAGCAGCGGCCAGACGGGCTCTGCCCAACTGCCGCTGCTGGTCTCGCCACTGCTGTCCAAAAAACCTCGGAGCAGCAGCAGCACCGGCAGCAGGAGGAGCAGCAGGAGGAGCAGCAGCAGGGGCAGGAGCAGGAGCAAAAGGGGCAGCAGCAGGAGGACGAGCAGCAGGAGGACCAGGAGGGGGAGGGCGAGGAAAAGGAGGAAAAACGGCCAAACCGGGGGAGGCCTCCCAGGCGGACGCTTCGGGAGCGGTCTCCGACCAGCACCCTGACGATAGCCACCACGCCCGGGAGCCTTCGGAGGGGCGGCTTTCACCATGGTTACCTAGCATAGCTTTAGAATTACAAAAGATGGCATGACTCAGTTTAAGACTACAGCCTAAGGGCGGCTGTCACCATGGTTACCTAGCATAGCTAAAAAGTAATGATTATAATTCTCTTACTGAAGCTGAGAAAGCCGCGACCCTCGCATGCCCTGTAAAAAGAAAAACGAATTCCCCAGGACGACTGAAACAAGGGTCACTAAGTCACTAAGTGTGTGTGTGTGTGTGT